GCTAATTCTAGTCCCATATGCTGTATCAGCTTAACCATTACTACTAATGCTTCTCCTTTGTCTGCCCTCAATACTAGTTACTCGTTCTCCTTAAGCCTCCTTAGAATATTCTTAACTGCCCTTTTTCATTTAACATTTTTCCATGGCGCCCTTCCTTAATTATGACTATTCGTGAGTAAGAGATAAAAATAAATAAAACCCGCATATATTTATTATTTTTTAATACTTTATTAACATTTAATTAATATTTAACAATTAATGTGATGGATGAGTCTGCAAAGCAGTGCACATTTTCTCAAATTGAAGCTTTTACAATATTTCGCCGCGGCACACAGTTTTGGAATCACTGGGCTTGACCAAATATTCGCCCATAGCAACTGGCGTCGAATAGGACATAGATCGTCCCTATTTTCAGGCTGATTAGTCGCGCTCACAACTCCTTCCGTGTCGGTATTGCCTTCGAGAAATCTCCTGCTCGTGCACTTGGCAACAGTTTCTTGCCCACCAGCCCAATCTTTTGCATCGTTTGTAGCTTCACGGTCCTCGAGAGTGTGTCGTTTACTTTCTTGACCTTCAAGCGGATACATTCCGTCAGGTTGCGAGTCACTCCACTTTTTCTGTTGGTCACAAGTCGTAGTCTGGATGTGTATGTGTGTCAATATGCATAAGGTTAGAGAGGTCATAGAAATTAAGAAGACAGACAACGTCCAAATTGGAGGAAAGATTGAAGAAAAGGGATTAGCAACTATTCGTGGCTGTTGGATTGGCTCACGGGGAGCGAAGCAGAGCGAGTGAACAGGACGACGCAGTGTGGAAGAGAAGGGCGCTGGAACCGCCTCGAGTCCGGCCAGGATTAACACACCTCCTGTTACATGGGCATTACTTACACACTTTACATTAAAAAAACACATATCTAAACCTGAGTTAACATTGGGGAATAAATCGGTGGTTTGCAGATATGAATACCAAGATGTCGCAGTCTCTTTTCGATGTATAGAAGTGGGTTCACCTCGTCGTCGCAAATT